TCTACCACACTCCTCCTTGAAGCAAGCCTACAGTGCCATCAAACTATCTTTGGACCGGTGGCATCATCGTCTTGGTCATCCTTCCATTACCACGGTTAAACAAGTAGTCAATAAGTTTAGCCTCCCCTGTTCAGATTTGTCTAGTGAGTCAGTTTGTAATGCTTGTCAACAAGCAAAGAGTCATCAATTACCTTTTCCTATTTCTTCCAGTGTTTCCAAACACCCCTTAGAACTTGTCTTTTCTGATGTTTGGGGACCTGCTCCAGAGTCTGTTGGGAGAAAAAAATATTATGTTAGTTTTATTGATGATTTTAGTAAATTTACTTGGATTTATCTCATACAGCATAAGTCTCAAGTGTTTGACAAGTTTCAAGAGTTTCAAGTCATGGTAGAACGTCAATTTGATAGAAAAATTCTAGCCATGCAAACTGATTGGGGAGGCGAATATCAATCCCTTAACTCTTTTTTTTCTAAGATTGGCATTGTTCATCATGTTTCCTGTCCTCATACTCACCAACAGAATGGGTCGGCTGAGAGAAAACATCGTCATATAGTTGAGATCGGTTTATCTCTCCTATCTCATGCATCCATGCCATTAAAGTTTTGGGATGAAGCCTTTCAGGCGGCAACTTATCTTATTAACCGTGTGCCTAGCAGAGTTATCCATAATATTAGTCCCCTTGAAAAACTGTTCAAACAAAAACCCGATTACTCCTCCTTGAGAATTTTTGGTTGTGCCTGTTGGCCTAATCTTCGCCCCTACAATAACCACAAATTACAATTTCGCTCTAAGCGTTGTGTTTTTCTTGGGTTTAGCACTATGCATAAAGGGTTCAAGTGTCTTGAGGTCTCTACAGGACGCATCTATATTTCTCGCGATGTTGTCTTTGATGAGAATATTTTTCCCTTCACTGAACTTCATGCCAATGCTGGTGCCCGTCTTCGTTCTGAGATTGATATTCTCACTCCTGAACTGCTAGGACCCATACGGTCTGTTGGGAATGAACAATGCATGCATCCAGTGACTAATCCATTATCTGCTGATGTTTCTGCTGCTTTATCTAATCGTGCTAATGAACCACATAGAGATGGTGCAGTACATCCCGCTGATGCAGAAGATTCGCCGGCGACGCCTCCTCTGGATGCCAGTTCTGGTCCAGAACCAGACCGTGTCGTCCACCACTCCCCTGCGGCCATGTCATCAGGCCATCATCCGGGTCCCACACCTGGTTCTGTGCCACGGGGGGCAGCATCATCGCTAGCAGAGGACACAGCAGAAGACTCAGTGTCGCAGGCGGTGCAGGAGCAGGAGTCGCAGGTGGTGCAGGAGCAGGAGCAGTCCTCACCAGCGTAGGAACATGCACAGGCTGTCACAGATGAGACTAATACATTACAGCATGCAGATGTGACTGACACAGGTTCAGAGGCACCGGCAGGACCGCGCACCAGGTTGCAAAGTGGAGTTCGCAAAGAAAAGGTATATAGTGATGGTACTATTAAATATAAGCATTCTTGGTTTACTGCTTCAGGTGAACCTACAAATGATTTAGAAGCCTTAAAGGATAAAAATTGGAAACTAGCAATGGATTCAGAGTATGATGCTTTAGTTAAGAATAAAACTTGGCATCTTGTTCCTCCTCAGAGAGGGAGAAATATTATTGGCTGTAAGTGGGTGTATAAAATTAAAAGGAAAGCTGATGGTACCCTAGATAGGTATAAGGCAAGGTTAGTAGCAAAAGGATTTAAACAGAGGTATGGTATTGATTATGAAGATACCTTTAGCCCTGTTGTTAAAGCTGCCACTATCAGAATAATATTGTCTTTAGCAGTGTCTAAAGGTTGGAGTCTTAGACAGCTAGATGTTCAAAATGCCTTTCTGCATGGGTACCTAGAAGAAGAAGTTTATATGCTACAGCCACCAGGTTTTGAGGATCCTACTAAGCCACATCATGTGTGTAAACTTGATAAAGCTCTGTATGGGTTAAAACAGGCACCTAGAGCCTGGTTCTCTAGACTAAGTAAAAAGTTGATGGACCTTGGTTTTAAAGGATCAAAAGCTGATACGTCTCTGTTCTTTCTGAATAAAGGTGATATAACTATGTTTGTTCTGGTATATGTTGATGATATCATTGTAGCCAGCTCTTCAGAGAGGGCCACTGCAGCTTTACTTCAGGATCTAAAAGGGGAATTTGCACTCAAAGATCTTGGTGAGCTGCATTATTTTCTCGGAATAGAGGTAAGCAAGGTTCAGAATGGCATTGTACTGAATCAAGACAAGTATGCCAATGATTTATTGAAGAAAGTGGGCATGATAGATTGTAAACCTGCTAATACACCTCTTTCAGTAAGTGAGAAACTCTCCCTTCATGAAGGCTCATTGTTAGGGCCTGAAGATGCAAGTCACTATCGCAGTGTTGTTGGTGCTTTGCAATATTTGACTCTTACTAGACCTGACATAGCTTTCTCTGTTAATAAAGTTTGCCAATTCTTGCATGCTCCCACAACTGTACATTGGATTGCTGTGAAAAGGATTCTTAGGTACTTAAAGCAATGCACTCGGTTAGGACTTGAAATTCATAAGTCAGGATCTACTTTAGTCAGTGGCTTCTCTGATGCAGACTGGGCAGGCTGTTTAGATGACAGAAGATCAACAGGAGGATTTGCAATATTTCTGGGTTCAAATCTGGTCTCCTGGAATGCTAGAAAACAAGCCACTGTGTCTAGATCTAGCATAGAGTCAGAATACAAAGCTATTGCCAATGCCACTGCAGAAATAATGTGGGTGCAGACTTTACTTGCAGAGTTAGAGATTAAAAGTCCAAAAGCTGCTAAAATATGGTGTGATAATCTTGGAGCTAAGTATTTGTCAGCTAATCCAGTGTTTCATGCCAGAACGAAACACATAGAAGTTGACTATCACTTTGTCAGAGAACGGGTAAGTCAGAAACTTCTAGAAATTGATTTTGTTTCCACTAATGATCAAGTTGCAGATGGATTCACTAAACCTCTGTCAGTAAGACTCCTGGAGAATTTCAAAAGCAATCTGAACCTGGTTAGGTCCGGATTGAGAGAGGGTGTTAGTTAGCATGAAAGGTTCGGATCATGTGATCACGACCTGACAGCTTGCATGCATGTAGTTGTTGAGGTTAGTTTGGATTAGGTTAGTCTATCCATGCGGATCAGGTTAGCCTTTCCTCCACATGCGATAACAGATGTTTGTTAGAGTTTGTTTTCTGTTTTCTGTTACTGCATGCAGTCGTTTCATCAATCTCGGCTTCGGTTGTTCTCAGCTGCGCCGAACTCTGTATCGCCACGATGGGGGCTGTTCCCATCACATATATATTAACACGAAGGCGACGCACAGGATTAGTGCGATCGTTTCCACCCAAACTAATTCACAGTTTCACCTTGGAATTGAACCTTGAGCACCGACAATCTATCATCTGATACCCAAATCCATTTGCCGAAAGAGAACAGTATCAGATGCGTTGCAGGATAGCATTGGATACATGCCATCAGGGGAGGCCTGGGAATACAGGTTCTGCTTGAATACCTACAGCGTTCGGTAGTAGTAGTTCCCAACCCTCTCCCTCGTTTTCCGCGCGCACGCTTTTTAAACTGCTAAATGGTGTGTTTTTTACAAAAAGTTTTTATACGAAAGTTGCTTTAAAAAATCATATTAATCCATTTTTTAAAAAAAATTTAGCAAATACTCAATTAATCATGCAATAATAGAGACTTCGTTTTGTGTGTCGGGGAGGAGGGGTTAGGAACCATGCTGAACAAGACTCATTTTTGTTGGAGATGGGATGCATCGGGCCCTTACTCTTCCAGATCAGCCTACAAGCGATTCTTCATTGGTCGTGCCAAGTTTGAGGGAGACAGACAAATGTGGAAAACTTTTGCGCCGCTTCGCTGCAAGTACAATACCCTTCACAAGAAAGAGCGGAACAGCAGAGTGTTCAACCGGGAGATCAAAAACTAGGTGCAGCTGATAGCAACTATTGTGGATGAGGTGCATTTGTCGATAGCAGCAGAAGGAAAGCTGCCTCAGCTGGTGGTCTGCTTGGGACTCCTGTTAGGATCATAGGATCATAGATTTGTTTTCTATGAGACGGAGAGTGTATGTAAAAGCGTGGCTAACTATGTCTTCTCTTCTTAATACAAATATAGCAAGCCTTTTGCGTGTCCTAAAAAAAGTTGTTTCGCCATGGCATTATGTAATATTTGGGCACAAAGGAACAAATCTGTATTTGAAAATGCCCCTCCTAACAAGGTGGAAAATGCCGCTACTTGTTGATTTGGAATGATTGAAAGACGGAATCCCGCATTGATGATTAGATTTCTAACAAGATGGATTGGTTTGTAACGAACAGAAAGTGAATACACCTTGTATAAGCCTCACCTGTTCATGAACTATTTATTTTGATGTACTGTTGGCATCTCTTCTTGTATCGACTTACTATTTGTCTCTAGATCCCGTAGAACCATTGTAGATATCTTTGTATCATTTAATTTTGCATGACAAATTCACTGCATATTATGTCATAGAATTTTTGAAACATGTTATTCATTTATCACTTTGGACAGAGAATCTCTCCAACAAAACATGGGAATAGGAAAAGAAGTGCAAGAATGGAATGCCCTGTTATCTGGATGTGAAACAAGGGTAATGCATGAGAACTTCATAAGAACTATTTGTATCTCCCTTAATTCTGTGGTGGATATAACCCATAAATTCCATAAGCACAATGCTATTTAATTCATCATTTTTAAGTATTTAAATCATTTAACCATTTAACACAGATGATGAAAGCCATAATATAATTTTTAGGGGGTTATCTAGCTTTCGAGTGACTAAAATCTTTGAAAACTGTAGTAACCTTTTTCATCCCTTGAATGAAAATCTAACCATTTTCAGCATGTCCCTTGTTTCTATTTAAACGCAATCCCTTCATTATAGGCTAAAGGCTGAACTATGAATTGTTCTTACTTAGACATAAAATAAACTTTAAATTGATAAACTTAGATAGAGTCAAAGATAAGGTAAATCATATGCATACACAAAATTGCAGAAAAATGTAACTAAATTTATACATTACAATTTACATAGCACTGCCAGTTTTAGGGTTAGAAATCTGTAATTTTAGGTGATGAAAAATTAGCAACTTTTTACATGACTTAAAGTTAGCAAACCCCAATCTTTAGTATAACACACGGTAATTCGATGAAAGGAATCAGTTAAGACAAGTACCATTTACTAGTCGGAATCCCCCACAAGAAGGTAACATCACCTCTGGAGAAAGGCTGCTTTAGTTCTTTCAGCATTGGGCACTTGTCAATAAGCACATTGTTTATTTCTTCAATTGCTTCTGGTACACCAGTAAAACGAAGCTCTTGGAAATTACAGATCTCCAAGTAATCTAGCAATGGAAGATTATTCCTCCAGATACTCCCAGGAATAAACATTGTCCCTGAAAGCCCAACCAACTGCAGGCGGACAAGGGAGGATAGGTTCAGTAGACAGTCAGGTATCCACTTAGAAATATCCCCACACCTCACCAACGAAAGGCTTGTGAGAGTGGGCGGCAATGCCAGCCCATTTTCCCAACTGATTCTTGGACAATCACGGATCACCAAAGCTTCTAAGAAACGAAAACCTCCAAATCTTTCAGCTGATATCAACGATAACTCCTGGCATCCCTTTATGCTTATCATTTTGATAGCCGGTATATGACATGGTTGCAGAAATTGTTCGATGCTTGATAAATTTGTGCATTCGATGATGTACAGGTTAATCAAATACTGGAATCCTGTGCATGGTAATCTATGCAATGATATCTTCTTAGCATTATGGCACTCCTCAAATATAAGCGATATCATGTTTGGTAAGTTGTCAGGCAGGAACCAGCTAGGACAAAAATTCTCTCCTTGGTAACCAGTGACCTCCAAATGTTGAAGATCCGGATGAGGATGTAGGTTTTCACAGACTTCCAATTGTTCCTGTTCATATCTAGCATCCTCTGCAAATTGAGATATATGGAGAGAGTAGAGATTATTCTCCTTTTTCAACACAGTAAGGCCAATATTCTTTTTACTTTTGAGACCAGGCAAATTGACAAGCAAACTTCCCTGTACCTGATTTACATATTTCAACACTTTGATTCTCTCTCCTCTTAGAAACTGCATGCGTGAATCCTCTCCTGGGAGATAACTGAAATTTTTCGCTCTAAATTTCCTTAGGCTGATCAGGTTTCCAAAGTCACAAGGCAGGCTTCTGAAAACACATGTTGAAGCATCTAGAGTTTCAGGTTATATAGACAACAAAATGACGAAGGAAGGATGCTGAAAGTACGTTGGCTTGAGAAGTAAATGTAGCCGACAAGCTTTAAGTTGCTGATGCCCTCAGGTATATCTTCTATCATGGGAAGAGAACAACTCAACACACGGATGTGTTGAAGCTCCTTAAACCAGCTGCCAAGTACAGAAGCAAACTCACCTTTGATAAAAGCTTTACTGCACAAAAGGGTGCGCAGTTTCTTATACCTGCATAGTCCCATTAAATCATGGCATCCAATATATCTTTTTGTGAAAATTGATAGATGGCGAACATTGGAAGGGATTGTTCGAAGGTCATTTGCATTCCTTATGATGAAGCATTCATCTTGCGAAACTAGCTGTGCCATATCATGCATCAAGTCATGTATCACATATTTGCCGTGCGTCACTTTCTGAAAGAAGGATCGGCTTAGAAGCTCTTCAAAATATTGCTGCACAACAGTTACAGTTGGAAAGCTACTTGCATGTTCAACGAAACCTTCTGCCAGCCATATGTCGACTAGGGTATCCTTTTCAAACCTGTAGTCTTTGGGGTACACAGCACAAAATGAGAAACACCTCTTTAGATGGGGTGGTAAATACATATAACTCAAACGCAGGGCAGGTAGAATATCTGTCCTGTCCTGCTCCAACTTCCATAGTTCACTCTGCAATATGTTATTTCAGTGTGAAGCATGCAAATTAGTCCTCAAAAGACGCCCAATAGTTTTGGCAGCCAACGGAGAACCCTTCAATTTCAGAATTATGCTTCTACCAATGTCCTCCAGATCTGGGTATTTGGATAAACTCTCAGTTCCAAATGCTTGTACAATGAAAAATTCCCAGAAAACATCTTCAGTTAGACCTTCTAATGGAAAACAATCCATTGTCCGCACCTTATCAGCAACTTTCTGTGACCGGGTGGTGATCAAAATCATGCTTCCTTGAAGAGCATTTGACAACGGTGCACAAAACCTTTGCCAATCTTGCCCACCATCTGCCATGACATCATCCCAAATGTCATCTAGTACAAGTAAAAACCTTTTTAACTCAACAGTATCTTTTAAAATAGACTGAAGAGAATCCAAATTGTCAAATGATGTTTCTTTCTTGGAAGATTGGATTACCTCTTTAGTTAACCTCTTTGCGTTAAAGTCATCTGATACACATGCCCAAAGGATCATATCAAAGTGAGCTTTCACCATTTGATTCTTGCAAATTTGTTGGGCCAAAGTAGTCTTTCCTACACCTCCCAGTCCAACAATTGGCAAGACCTCCACTCTACTGCTTCGCTTGCGTTTGTAGCCAGCATTAGCTTGTAATTGTACTCCTAACAACTCCAACACCATTTTCTCTTCTTCTTGCCGTCCAAAAATCTGACTGTTAAGAAAAGAACTTGTTTCTGGCCTAACAATTTTGTCAAATCTTTGTGCTGCACAATGCAAGCCCAAGTCCATAGACTGACGATGTAGATGGTCTAGCTTCTCTTGGATTTCTTTCACTCTGTTAAAGCTTCCTCGAATGACACTCATATAGAATTCCTGGCATCCAGACGATGTTAGGCATTCCTCTATTCTCCCCTCTATCTTTGCCTTGAGCTCATAGTAATTAAATTCATCAATGATGTCTTCAGCATCTAGCAATGCATCCTTGATATGTGGGAGGAGTTCTGCAGCTGGTTTTTTATAGATTTGCCACTCAAGTATCTCAACAAGGTTGCGCATTTTTGGCAGAGTTGTCTGTAGCTGCCATAAATCGCTTTGCAGATGCTGGATTTCTTCCTTTACAAAATCGTTCTGTGGTTTCTGATGAATGTTGATCCAAGAGCATGCAGATGAAATGGCTGAGCTCAGACAATTGAAGAATTCAGCCCATGTATTGACGCTTGTAACAAACCCTGTGGCTGTCTGGATCCCTCGGGCAGCAGCTCCCCAGCTCATTTTAGTGAATCTCATTTGCATAGACTGGTGTGAAGAACAGGGATAAAACTGGGAATGTGGAATGGTAGAAGTTATAAAAAAAATTCCTTAAAATGTTGGGTGCACCCTCACTGAAAGCTTAACTCACACATATTCCTGCAAGAGCAAGAAAATTTTTTATTATGTCTTCACAAAAGCAAAAGGAAGAGAAAAATGTCACGGAGACATATGGAGTGCAAACCACAGAGACTACCAGCCCCATCGATTCACTTATTCGGGGAATAAGCGAAACGGCGTATTTGTAAACGAAAAATAATTGGTGAATAAAAATTTTATATATGTGTTCTAAGTAATAACATAATGCTCTTGAAAGTTTTGCTGAATTACATTTCAATGAAACACATTCCACGCAATTCAATATTCAAACTCAGCCAGATCCAGAAAAAAACAGGAACAACTTGTAGTTGCATAGAGTCTCAATCGCAACATCAGCAAATTGTTTCAAGAAAACACTTTTAGAGGGCGAAAGACAGTACATAATACAGATCACCAATAGGGATAGATGGCAGCTTATAATTAACCTGAACCCATAGATGCTGACAGAATTGTAGCCATTTGATGTTAGAAGCAAACATTTGTTCAGTAAAACATATGGTAACACACAATAACAGCCCCCCGCAAAAAAAAAAACAAAAACAAAAACAAAAACAAACAAACACAATAACAGTGTTGGTTTTACGGATTACAGGCTCAACTGGTAAAATGATGAATATAACCTCCAATTACCTGAGAAACACTCCAAGAAAAAGCAAAGCACTTGCGCTTTGCCTTCAATCTGCCGCTCCCAATTCTTACAGGTGAATAAGGAGCAAGGAAGAGAGAAAAAAAACAGCAATAAAGGCTCCTTCTGAAAATAAACAACAAACACACACACACACAAAAACAACACATAGATACCATTGTAAATCATTGTACCACCAATAACTACACGATGGCCAAAGAATAAAATACTGTGGAGTCATATTCCATCTCAATCATGGCTGATGTACCTTCTGATATTGCAGTCTAAAACTGTGGGTTCATACCAGCTCATTGTTTTGAGCCAATTGGATCGAACAACAGAATAATATTGATACCATTGTACTAACACCACGACAAAATTGATCCAATAGGTCAACCATGAAGCCTCCAAATAAATTAGTAACATCAAGAAGCAACATATGATGTACCATCACATTCAGAAAAATATAAAGAGCTCTTTAATCTTGCAAAGTAATACTGCTAACATGGATGGATTCTAATAAGATGATAATTAGAACAAGATCCCGTAGAAGATAAATCTAATATCCAACAAATCGGAGTAACCAAGGACCAATTTACCAAGATCAGCATTATCTGAACATACAATAAGTCCACCAAGAGATAATACCTCACCAAGGGATGAAAGAATCTCTTACGATCTCTGTTCTTGATTGGCTACAATGGGTTCAATTTTCTTTGGATGCTTTCTTTTTCTCCTGCGTTAGTCATCTTGTAAATATTTCCATTATATCCCACTTCCACAGTCCACTATTCAATATATTGCTCCAATGCGTAGTGTCTAGATTCCTTCTCATCAAATGCCCAATAGTTTTGGCAGCAAAAGGAGAACCCTTCAGTTTGTGAACAAAGTTTTACCTCTTTCCTCCATTTCTAGGTTGTTGTTAGAACTCCTAGAACCAAACGCTTGAAGTTTGAAGAATTCCCAACTGACCTTATCCATCAGAGAATGCAGATGAAACAACTAAAGTAACACAGGTAAAGTTTTCACTCCATGCATTGGCTCCAGTCACAAGCTCCATGACAGCAGCACCCCAGCTCATGCTTAATGTATTTCTTGCTGACTTGAGTTAAGATCATAGGGAAAATTGAGCAATATAAGATCTTGGAACAGAAGATAATTTGGGACCATGACAAGGTTGTAAGTTTTTTATATACAGAATGTTCATTATTGCACCATTAGCATAAGCTTACCTAGTATACATACTACTAGAGTGAAACTCCAATGGTCAAATTGCAGAGAACAGCAGCTAGTTCTACGCACTTTGTGTACTCACCTGATCTATGCATGGAAATAGTTAGAAGAGAATCCGTCATATATTGACATAACAAATCAAACGGGAACATATCAAGAGGAAGCACCTATTTGTGAAGTGTGAAGCACACTTGTTCAGGCTTCAAAATACACATGAAAAATGCCAGGAAGTTGCAGATAAAAGAACATAAATATCCATATTCTATTTTTCTCCTTGTTGTTCTTGTTCTTCTAGATTTGAGCGAGAAATCCCATACTGTCAAAAGAGGATTTGTATGAATCGTTTGTTCCCCCCTTCCCCTGAATAAGTAATATTGTGCCCAATTCATAAATGCCTCCGCAACCCCGAGAGGCAAAGGAGCCAAGCAACTCACTGTCTGTCCATGTAAAGCATAACCATTTTTAAGAAAAAACAAAAAGCAAGAAAGGTGGTACAATCGCTGATTGCATACATACACAATGCTTTGCAAGACAATTAGTACTACAATATTGCAGCCCTAGAAAGGATGAAAAACCATATTCGAAGTAGTGTTGTCTGATCTACCAACCACCTGAACACGCAAGCAGAAGCAGTAATCAACACTGCATATGCATCTGTGTCTTGTGTGCAATTTCTCGGATGCACATCCGGAGTCCCATGCTCATGCTCGTGCTCCCATATGGCACTGAAACGCAGGAATCCGGCACAAAATCCGCACTCCAGTGGTGATGTCATTTGGTCGATTCACATATGAAATCAACTAAATTACACACACAGCACCCCATCCCCAATCGGATGGGAAACTGTATCGCGACCTACAGTGAGAAGGTGATTGGGGGCGGTCCGTGAGTGGTATGCTCCCCAAATTTTTCGATTCAAGCTAGGGAGAGCGAAGATCACCTGCACGGTGGCCGGCCGCCGTGCCCGCGCTACGGCCTTTGGTGTGCCTGCCGGCGACGGCGAGAACTGTGGCAGCGGTGAGAACTGTGAACACCAGGGGGGAGGTGCGACGGATGGGACGAGCCAGGCACCACCCGCGGTGAGGAAGCCCGTACGCGCGTGCTCTTGGGGCGCCTCCGCGCCATTGCCGGCCAACAGCAAGCGGCGGCGACACCGACGAGCTGACGCCGCCGGCGAGGCCACGGCGTCGCGTCGCGTCGCGTCTTGGGCCGTTGGGCGCTCGACGTGTTCTCATCAATTAAATCGGCCCATGATAAGTGGGCCGGAGCAGTTAGGCCCACCGAATCTTCAATTTGTGGGCCCAGATCTTCCCTTGCGCAGAGTACTAATCGGCACGGACTGGCCCGGTGGTGGTTTGAACCAATTCTCGCTAAAAATTGAATACAAGCTGGCCCAACTGTTGAGATAAAAAATCCTTGGAATAAGTTCACCTGGACTCCCTTAACTAGTGGCCGAATCTCATTCATACATCCTTGAACCATAATACCAAATATCTTGCCCCCTCCCCCCCCCCCAAATTCTTAAAACCGGTGTAATTTGACTCTCTCGACGGTTTTGGAGGACGGTTTCGCTGATGTCGCGGTCTTAACCTAGTCTTCATTCTACATGGTGTTGAGGTGACGCTTACGCGGCATTATAGAATTAAAAAATATGTGGGGCCAATTTGTCATTCATAAAAAAAAATATTGTGAGACCCACTGACATGTGGGGCCCACATAGGGGTGTAAGTGGGTCAGCCGCGAACCCACTTATAGGTCAAACTAATCGGGCTCGCTGCTTATTTTAGCCTATAAGTGGGTTTCGTGGGTTAGCCACTTACACCCCTAGGCCCACATCATCATCTCTCCTTCCCTTCTTTCCCCCTCCCTCTCTCTCCCCATTTCTCTTCACCTAGGCCGGCGTGGTAGTGGCGGCACCAAGCGGCGACAGCGGCATGCGGGCAAGGGACAGAGCAGCGGCGAGCCGGCGACTGGCAGGAGGCGGGGGATCCAGGTGGCGTTGTTGTTGGTGTTAGTGATATGCCCTAGAAGCAATCATAGAGATGATTGTATCACATACTATGTTTACATATTTATCCGATATTGTTCCTTGAAATAGATAACTCCTTATTGTTTAATGAATATGTGATTCTTTCATGAGACTCTTTATGTTGTTTGTTACTATTTCTAAAGGATCCCTGATCAAATATCATATGTGGAACAAATATGTTTGTTTATATTATCAGCACATGTACTAATTGATGATCATGTCTCATGGATCATGGTATAGAGATACCAAATTAATAATGTGGACACATGTTGGTGAACATGTTGTTGGATAGACCCAACATGAGACACTACAAGAGCCATATTATTAAGGACATGTGTCATCAGTGATCTCATTTAGTGTTGGTGTTGAATCCTTAGACCTGAGATTATCATGGTTCTCAACATGTGTAGTAGCTTACTTAAGGACTATTAAACGCTACTCCGTAAATGGGTAGCTATAAAAGTAGTTTTCAGATATGCTATGAAACATGTAGTGTGATATAAATAATCAAGATGGGATTTACCCCTCCTATGGAGAGATATCTCTAGGCCCCTCGATGTTGTAGATTATGGAAGTGCATGGCCATGCCAAAGGTGATTGAGGAGTCAATCACAAGTTATATAATCTATCAACAGGTTCAGTGAATGATTGAGCTATTAGAAGATGGCACATATCTAGCCTTAAGCTTAATTGATATCGTGAGGCAAAGGGGTTCATACAAGTATACACTAGAGGTTCAGCCGATATGATCTTTATGTATGCCCGGTGGGTCAATACATTCTGCTAGGGACTGCTGTTGACGCGTGGACCGAAAAGGAGTTTTCGGGTTACAGCCGAGTATATATGAACCTACAGGGTCGCACGCTTAATGGGCCGGAATAAAGGGGATTGGATGGAGATCCAATATGAGCTTAATTCGGATAGAGATCTGAATAGGAGTCCTACGGGCCTTGGAGGCCCGAGTGATGGATCCTATATATTCATGAGGGGTGTGACCGGCGGAGGCATTGCATCACGTGAGAAACCCTAGCCGTCACTTCCCTCCCCGAGCAAAACCCTAGTCGCACGCGGGTGCTAGCACATCTGCGTGTGGCGTTCCGTCCCTGTACGTGTGGATACCGGTAGAGGCGCCACTGGTTTGCGATGCTGATTGGCGTGGGAGTACGACGAGGAGAACGCACGAGGAAGAGAAGGTCGAGCCGGTGCGATCTACTACTTCCCCTACATCGACGCGCGCTGCTTCACGAGAGTTCCTTCGCTTCTCAGCGTCTTCTTCCGCTGCACAGCGCGTCGAGTGGTAACGATCTATGATCTAATACTTGCATGGTTCCTGGTTTACATGATAGAAAATTTTGATTTATGCTATCGTAGCCTACGCGTATCCCAACAGCTGGAACCCTACCTCGAACGGCGTCGTTGATTCCGCGCCCACCCCTACCCAATGCTGCCACGCACGACTCCTCTCCTCTTCCTCTCGCACGCAACGCCACCCGTCGCATAACCCTAAGCGTCGTCGTTCCGCTCCTTCCCTTTCCCGTCATAGCTGCACCTTCCCTCTCATGCCAACCTCAGCGTGCGCCGCCATCGAAACTGACGCCCCACCTTCGCGCGCAACGCCGCCGGCGCCCCTCTCGGCCAACCTACTCCAGATAGACTCTGCTGACGCCCCTCCCCACCAACCGCCACCAACCATGTCGCGAGACACCTCCGACACACCTCCTCGTCAACCGCGTTGCGAAACACCTTCGACGCCCCTCCCCCTCTCGAGCGATGACCGGACCTAGGGAGGACACCGGTGGTGAGCCAGACCGGGGGAGGGTGGTGGTGGCGAGCCGGACTAGGGAAGGGAGGGTGGAGGTGGTGTGAAGACGAGGAAGAGGAATAGCAGCCATGGCCGGCGATGGCAGCGGCGTGGGAGGCGGCTGTTGGAGGGCCGGCCAGCAATGTTGCTAGTGGGTTTGGAATAGGGGTACGGGTGGGCGGCATGTCAGCTTCCGTGAACCGCGCGCACCAGAGCACGTCCACCGTGGTGAGCGGCCTGTTTGGCTGGCAGGCGAGCAGCCCGCTTAGCACGTCGAACCCCACGGTGACGGTGGACTGGCACGGTGGCAGACCACGGACTCAGCAGGCGGCAGACAAGTAAAGCTTGGCCACAACTTCATGTCGCATGCCTACCGTGTTTGAACACCCTGTTTAGCTTGTCCATCTCCGACCTCCGGGTAAGAGCAGGCCGCCGGTAAGGAACACGCAGATGGGAGAAGGTGGTGGCGGTGGCAGCCGCCGCCTCCATGGCAGAGGTGTGGTCGCGGGCCCCAGGGGGGGTCGTGGACGAGAGAGCGTGAGCGGGCGCGCGAGGGACGGACAGCGATGCTCTTGGCGTGCGGGAGCAGAGGAAGCAAAGGAAATGGGACAGATGAATGGGAACTTTACATGTAGATCCCACGTTAATGCCACGTGAAATGAATGCCAGGTAGAGATGGCAACGGGTGCATACCCATCGGGTTCCCTTGCCCCATAACAACACCCGCGATGACTAAATATTCCTACTTAAATACCCACACCCGTCGCGGGTACAAAATCATCCCCATACAAACACCTGTGCGGGTAACGGGTACCCATACCCATACAATTGACTTGTAGCATTTCTTTTGTATTCTAATTAGCCATATTAAAACTGTAACCATCAATATTTTATCTAGCAACAATGCTATTAACATTAGTGTTTAAAGACGAGTAAAAAATTATACAACCACATTACATAATTACATCATAAAAAAATCAAATAATAATTTCATATAACTAGACTAGAACAACGCTTAAGATGTGAAAAGGAGTTTTATACTATGATTTAGTAGTCGTCAGGACTTATATTTCTCATAGTTTTAGGCTCAATCTATGGGTTTTTTTCACCCACGGATTGATGGGTACGGGTGGGTAAAGAACGGATCCATACCCACGTACCTAATGGGTAAAAGTTTTCGCCCGTCAGCAGACCCATGGGTATAAGAATTATAACATGATTAGCTCCTAATATAGTAAAAACCCGTCGGGTGTCAGGTCGTGGGTCCCCATTGTCATCTCTAATGCTAGGTCAACACCACCACATATGCCGTCAGTGAAACTACCCTCCAAAGCCACCGAGAGAGTCAAATTGCACCGGTTTTAATAATTGGGGTGTCGAAATATCAAGTATTGAGGGATACGAAACAGATTCGACCACTAGTTAAGGGGGTCAAAGTGAACTTATTCCAAATCCTTTATGGGGACACTAAGGTGGTGTTTAGATCCAGGGACTAAACTTTAGTTCCTGACACATCAGATGTTTGGACATTAATTTAGAGTATAAAATATAGACTATTTACAAAACTAATTATATAAATAAGAGCTAATTCGTGTGACATATTTTTAAGCCTAATTAATCCATAATAAGCACATATTTGTTGTAGCATCACATAGGCTAATCATGAATTAATTGTGCTCAATAGATTCGTCTCGCGAATTAGTCTACACTTAATATTTCTAATTAGTGTTCAAATATCCGATGTGACAAGAACTAAAAATTTTTAATCCCCTCCAAACAGCCCCTAAATCTAAGGCTTTAATCACAAATTTGAATTGCAAAGTACTCCACCATCAATATTAAAGGTTTTGGCTTATTTGAATTTTATATAGGTGGAATCCAATTAATTTTTATACCATGGAACGGCCAAGATCGACCTAGCTTTATATCGTCACTACTTAAAAAATTGGTAATTTTTCTCATCGTTACTCCATTTTTTTCCCTTGCGGCATCTGCACGACGCGATAGCCATGACTCCGCTTCCTATGTTCCTTTCGTTCCTGACACACGTATGTGGCGTTTGGCGCGCCTCATCCGACTGGATATAGGTAGGGCTAGGTTACGCGTGGATTATAGAGACTTTATACGAGTACAAACATTACATGATCATTACATATGTATGATATAGATTATAGATATGAAACAACAGGACGCTTCCTAGATTTTAGGAGGAACAATCAATCGACCGTGTGATGCGTTATGCGTGGGTTGTGAGAGGAGTTAGGGAAGGGTGTTGTGCAGTACCCACATGTCGATGTCAACTCTCTTTCAAGAGCATCGGTGGCCATCAAATCCAAAGGACGATGGGCTTAAAAGAGAGCTGATATCGACAAGTTGGTACTATGGAGAAGCTGGGCATCAAGACGGTGTATTAAAAATATTATTATATATTTATATATACTTGATTAAACTTAAAATTTAGTTAGAAAGAAAATTAAAATAGCTTATAACAATAACATGAAACAGACGTCTAGTAGCTAACACTATAAACTAAGACAAGAAGTACAACTTATTACAACTGCTCATTACTTACAACTTATTAGTAGTAGTCAGTAGACACGACTTGAAAAAGAAAAGGCTGCCAATGCAGGTGAAAAACAAATCTACGAGCGACCGAAGAAGCAGAAGCACCCTGGCATCTTCTCCTCCTCGTTCTTCTTCTTCTTCGTCGTCTTCTTCTTCTTCTTCATCTTCCCCGGCGCCACCATCCCGCCGCCATTGCTCGTGTCGAGCGCCTCCAGCATCCGCACCACCTCCTCCATCTCCGGCCGCGCCGCCGGGTCGGCGTCCCAGCACCTCGCCATGACGCGCGCCATGGCGGGCGGGCAGCACGGCGGGATCGGCGGCCGCATCCCCCGCTGCGCCACCGCCGCCGACGCCTCCGCGACGCTGAGCCCGAACGTGAAGGGCATCTCGCAGCAGTACGTCTCCCACAGGCAGATGCCGAAGCTGTACACGTCGCACTTGCGGTTGTACGGCTTCCCGACGAGCACCTCCGGCGCCATGTACCCCACCGTGCCCGTCGCGCCGGTCATCTCCCTCGGGTCGCGCGCCTCCACGCGGGCCACGCCGAAGTCGGCGATCTTGAGGTCGCCGCCGCCGCCGCCGCCGAGGAAGAGCATGTTCTCCGTCTTGACGTCGCGGTGGACGATATTGTTGGCGTGGAGGAAGCTGAGGCCGCGCGCCATGGACAGCGCGAGGCGGACGACCTCGCCGTAGGGGAGCTTGCTCCGGTAGTGTTCGATCAGGTACTTCTTGAGCGTCCCGCCGCCGAGGAACTCGACCACCACGCAGCACGCCCTGTCCGCCGGCGGCTTCTCGCCGGTGTTGCGCTGCTCGCCGCCGCCGGCGGCGGAGGCGGCGGCCGGGATGTTGAGGTCGGTGGTGCCCATGGACGCGCCGAAGAAGCGCGCCACGTTGGGGTGCTCGAACGAGTGCCAGACGGCGGCGAGGTCGGCGAGCGACGCGCGCAGGTGGGCGATCTGCTCCGGCGTCGAGTAGCCGTCCTCCCTCCAGTCGAGCACCTTCACGGCGACGTCGTGGCCGCCGTAGTCCGCCCGGAACAGCGTGCCGTGGTACCCCTGCGCCACGACGGAGCGGATGCTCAGCTTCGACAGGTCGATCTCCCACGCCGCCGCCTCCTCCTCCGCGCCGCCATTGCCGCCGCCGAGCGCGTTGGCGGCGATCTTCTCCTCGAGCGCGAGGTCGATGGTGCTCGCGGCGAGATCGTCGCTGCTGCTGCTGCTGCTCGACGCCATCGATGTCGCGGGAACGAGCTCTCGAACGCGCGCGTCGCCTCGATTTGTCTCGCGGGATTTTTCGGCAAGCGGTTTAGACACGGGCGTACGTGGCCTGTATTTATACGCGTGGTAGTGGTGGTGCTAGTTACTGTACTACTCCTAGATTCGAATACGGAATACACGAATCCGTACCGCGTCCGTACTAGTAGATTCGAATCGTTTCTGATGTATTCGGAGTACAGAATACACCAATCCGTACCCCGTACGTACGTCTCCAGATACCGCACGACACCGGATCGGATTAGCGTGTCCGTGTCCCGCTCCCTCACACCAGTAGGGGGACGGGCTGCGCTTTCGAATTTCGGCCAAAATTTCGGTGGCACTGAAATTTACGAAATTTTGAGATTTCGAGAAATTATAATAAATTTTGATTGTATTTGAATAAACTTTGATCAAATTCAAATTTTTTTTACAAAATCCGAAAATTCCAAGCGATAAGGTGACCTGTTGGGGGTTTTGGATTTTCAAACACCAGACGACACCAGATTGCGCTCCAAAAGCTATCCACATCACTTCTGACGAACGCGGCCTTAATTCGTCCATCGCGAGCACGTAAAGTACAACAAGCAAAAATCTTAAGAATCCAAATAGTGGGATAAGAGTAGGGATGCATGTGGGCCGACCCGTGAATCTACTTATATATTTAACTGGTAACTCATGAGTTTTCACATCGTGGCCTAGCTTACCATATCTAGAAATGCAAATGGATCAATACATAAACCCATTTATAGATCGAATTAGTAAGTAACTGTGAGTTAATATGCGGGTTACCCACTAATTACACCTATAAGCGGGTTTGCAGGTCGGTCCGCTTGCATCCCTAGATAAGAGGAGATGGATGTCATGCTATGTGGAATGATCAATGAGAACATCTTATTCAAAAATGTGTTTCCGAGAGTTGTGAACTCAATGATGTGATCAGTTTTAACAGGGAATGACCATGTTGTCCAGAACGCCAGTTCCAGGTATGGAACTATGGTGGTGTCAAGCATGAATCTAATGACTTAACATGTGGAGACTGGTGGGAATGTACAAGGGGGCATCACATGTTCCCGACGCAGGGTTTTGTTTTTATGTTATATTGGAGGGAGAGGAGGATACAGGCCATCGGCCCATGGTGGCAGGACACGAGTCATAATTATGCCTCCTCCTGATCGAACCTTAGGCCATCCACAATGGGTGCCCCTGGGTCGTCCCCCGCTCACGCCGTCCGCCGTCCGTCCGCGCGGCGTGTCCCTGGAGAGAGGCGCGACCCCCACGCGGGGAACACGCGCCTCTAGCTCCTCAGCTCGCTTTTTCCGGAGATACTCCCTCGAGGCTACGTATTGCGGCGACCCGGTGCCCCGTCCCCTGCCTCCTCCCCTGGTGTTCCCCTTTTTGCCCCTCACCGATGGCATGGCGATGAGAGATAGAGAGAGAGAGAGAGAGAAAGGAGAGAGAGGCGACAACGACGAGAATCCGCCGCGGTAGCCGTCGGCCACCAGCCGGCGACAGGAGGAGACGGCTTCCTCGCGCCGCGGCGGCCGGTGGCCACCAGCCAACGACGGGCTCGGCTTCCATGATGGAGACGACGACAATGACCCGGCGACGACTCCACCTGCGCCTCGGCCTCTTCTGCCCACACCGCGCCCGCCACCGCCGGCATGCCACGGTCTCCTGCCCGATCTGGCCGCAGGGGGGCCAGATCCGCCCATGACGGTGCCGGATTTGCCCCCTCCAGCCGCCGGCGGCGATGGCGAGTAAGAGAGGCGGCGGCAAAAAAATGAGAGAGAGAGCGGCGGCAACAAGAGGGCGAGAGAGAGAGGATAAAGCGGCGGCGGCTGGGGAGGGCGAGGAGGGAGGTGGCGTCGGCGCTCGCGGGAAAGAGAGGGAGAGGGAGGGGGATCGAGGACGGCGACGCCACCGAGCGGAGGGAGTGAAACCCGGTGGAGGGAGTGAAGAAAAAGAAGAGGAGGAGAAAGAGGCGGAGAAAAAAGAGGAGAGAGAATGGGGGAAGAAGAGAGGGTTAGGATAGGAAAACACCCACTGTGGGTTTTTGTTTTGGGACACCCATTGTAGGGTTGAGTACCTTCATCCAGTTGCTTTAGATTTTGAGGAACCCATCCAGAGGTGTCCACCATTGCGAGCTGAGTTTCCCTACGAGTGTCCTCAAGAGGTGGCTCACATTGTGGATGTCCTTATAGAGTTGTGGCTGTTTGTGAAAATGAAACTCCTAACAGATGCTTGGCCGCCTAGATCCCATTCCACCTTCGCATTAAAAAATGGCCGCTTGTCTAACAGTTGCTCTTTTTGGAGTAGACAATAAACTGCCCACCCTCCTCTTATCTCTTTTTTTTCCATGTTTTTACCGTCGCCTTGAGTGCTAAGGGATCATATCAACTTTGTTGCTCTGCTTCCTCCATGCAATCCATCGAGATGTCAAGCTAGTCGTCTATCTTGATGATACGTGACTTCCACTTACCTCTTTCATCCAAAAAAAAACTCAATTTCTAAAGTTTAAATTTTGTCCCACAAAAAATCAACTTATATCATTCTACCTACCCTCAGCATTTACCTACATATCACTTTTATTATTTTTTTTAACCATTAAGAGCATTTTAGTCATTCTCACTCTTCACTATCTCCATCTTGATATGCTAGGAATGGGATTTTTTTTGGGACGAAGGGAGTAGGTAATATGCATCTTGATTTCTCTACACTGAATTTAACTACCTAGGTTTCAATGAAGGCACTATTCCTTTACGGATTCCAACAACAAAATAAAAGCAGTTGGATCCAATCGATTCCTAGGAATTTTGTATATGAATCAAGAGGGCGATTAGCAAAATGAAGCTGTCGTACTAAATCGTTAGCCCCTCTCTAAGAAAGTCTGGCATGTGCTTCTACACAGGGTCCTTGCAATTCTAGGAGCCATAACTTAAGTTGTGTATAGTAGACCCAAAAAAGATGAGCCCATTACCACCAACCCTACATACGAGTATAGATGCCAAACGGGCTGCCCGGCCAGGCATGATCGGGCCTGGGCAAGAGATCAGTCGGGCCGGCACAGCCCGCCCACTTGTTGCATCAACGGTCCAGGCACAATCCAATAAGATTCAGGCCATGCCGGGTCGGCCCGAAGTCTCAAAAGCTCACAGTGCTCTTCCTTGGAAAAAGTCCATTTTGCCCCCTCATTTCTTTGGGCCGCCACTTATACAGCTAGAATAAGCCTATTTTGCATCCCTCATCTCTTTGGGTTGTTCTTTATATGATTGGAATAAGTCTATTTTGGCTCGCTCATCTGTTTTGCCTTCATGTGTCGGGCCGGCCCGTCGGGCCGAGGCAAAGGCCCAGACATGACCCAAAGGTCAGGCTAGGCTAGCACGGACCGGAATAAGTTCATCTGAGGTCCCTTAACTTGTCAAAGAATCTGATTTTCATCCTTCAACCAGAAAACCAGATACAACGGGTCCCTCAACTATCAAAACCGGTGCAGATGAGGTCCCTTGGCGGTTTAGATAGCGGTTTTGGCTGATGTGGCGACTACGTGGCTAATTTGACTCGGTCTTCAACTGACATGGCGCATACGTGACAATTCGATCCAAAAAAATAATAAAACTCGTGGGACCCACATGTCAGTTTCACACACAAAATAAAAAAATGGTGGGACCCACATAGGCCCCACATGTCATCCTCATTGCCCTCCTCTTCTTCCCGTTATCCTCTCTCTTCTTCGGACACTGACAGCAGCCGGCGACCTCGGCGAGGCGGCTCGCCGCAGCCTTCCTCTCCGACTAGTCGTCGTCCTTCGCAGCCTCGTCAGCGCGCTCGACCGCGGGCTCCGACGATGAGGACGACCACTCCAGCGCCATCGCCGCCACGCGAGCCAAGAAGGTGCCGCCCTCCATCGCCGTCACACCCGAGAAGGAGATGGAGTTCAACGGCGGTGGCGGCAGTACTGAGGGCGAGGATGCGGTTGGTGCAGGACCCCACAGCGGCGCCGACCACCACGCCACCGGTCTCCTACAACAAGACGCTCGTGCCTGCCGCCACACCGACCACCCCCGCCACCCCGGCCCCCGCTGCGGCGCCCACCACCCCGGCTCTGGCCACCGCAGCGCCTCCTCTCCCACGATCGAGACTCTCGTCGCTGGCACCGTTGTCCACCATCTTGGGGATCCCCGTCACGGTGCACGCCGAGCCGCCACCGCCGGAGCTCGGACAGCCCGCCTCGCTCGCCTGCTCCGCCGCCCACCTGCCCGTCCGCTCCGCGCTCCCTGAGAAGAGAGAGAGAGAGAGGGAAGAAGAGAATAGTGAGGATGAGGAAGAAGAGAGAGAAGGGAGAGGGATGAAGAAAGGAGTGAGGATGACATGTGTGCCCCACCATTTTTAAATTATTATTTTTTGTGTAACTGACATGTGGGTCCACAGTTTTTATTATTTTTCCGGGATAGAATTATCACGTCAATGCCACGTAGGACGAAGACCTAGTCAAATCAGCCACGTAAACGCCACGTCAGCCAAAACCACCTTCCAAACCGCCGAGTGGCCTCATTTGCACTAGTTTTGACAGTTCAGGGACCAATTGTGTCTGGTTTCGGAGTTCAAGGACGAAAATTGGATTCGGTGTAAAGTTAAGGGACCTCAAATGAACTTATTCTGCACGGACCCGACACCAGCCGGACCGTGCCATGCTTGGACCGGACCAAAACCCCTTACCATAGGCCGGGCCGTCAGGGCCGTTTGGCCAACTATGGGTGTGTTTGGTTCTCGTATCCCTCTAGTCTGGCTCATCTCCCTCATCCAGGCTAAGTTTTAGCCTGGTTTAGGGGATACACATGCAGACGTTTGGTTGCTTGGATGAGATGAACCTGGATATGATGAGATGTTGTTTGGTTGGTTGCAGCATGGGGCGGATGGAATGGTAGCATACAGAAGATGTTGTTTGGTTGGATAGATATCTTGTGTGTAAATACCTATTATTGTGGGTGGTGAGATTACCCCATAAAGTTTGTGAAACAAGATCTTTTTTCCAAGTCCCTAATCTATTTATGTGTGATAAGTTTAATTCGTCGTAGAGGTTATAGATTAAATTATGTTACTCTGGGTGTGTGCCCACCTACTAATATTCCTAAGCTCATTCCTAACCAATGAGCAGCACTGATGATCATTTTTTTTAACAAATGTAACGAAATGGCCTGGATGAACACGCAAGAGTGATTATTCTAGCAAAAATCATGTACATAATTTTATTGACGACACTGGTACATTTGACAATTCAAAACAAACATACAAATATACGTGCTCATGGCAAGTTTTTTACAAGTAACCAATTTGATAAACAAATTAGTAACCGCATACAAAACTAAACCATCTGTTTCAGCTATGTTCTGCTTGCAAGCTTTTGTACAGATTGCTTCAAACTCATCAACCATGTTCTGCTTGCAAGCTTTTGTACAGATTGCTTCAAACTTATCAACCTTAGTATATCTACACTTGATCTCACAAGTTTTTCCATTATCACATTTTCCTGAAACATAGTAAAAGTAAACAGGATAACCTGTACCTTTGAAACAGTACAGGATCTGAGTTGCAGAGATCAGGTCGCAAGAGCATCAACACTTAATAGTAGTATTATCTTTACCAAAGGAGCAAGTGCAGAGTGTATCGGTTTCATATAAAAACTTGATCATGTCAAAATCAAGTGTGGTTACCAAAAAAAATGAGTACATCTGTTGATATCAAAAGATGAACAAGGAACTTGATAGTATTTGCCTGACATCAATAACTCGAAAATGTAGCAAATATGTGCAGAAATTTGACATCATTGAGCCTCATTTCCAGCAGGTAAATAAATGCAGAACAATGGCCTCAGATATATGAAGAATGTGAATTAGCTACTATCATTGGTATCTGTTCTTACCAGTATCTATCAAATGTAGCAAAAGAAAAGGTATAAGGAAAAGGAAAATAAGACGAAATGTAGGAAAAAAGAAACCGCGAGAAAATGAGAACAAGTGTAGAGCAAAAATCTATTCACATGCATCACAACAGCAGCATATATCATCATTGGCCATCTTTCCCAGCCTAACAGCAAGAAAAAAGAACAAGTGTAGAAAAATCTGTTCATGTACTCTTATAAATTCTGCACAATTCAAGTGTAGAGGTGGCCTCAGTTCTGATAAGATCATTTGAACTATAAAATACTGAGAAAGATCACAGAAAGACAGAAACTTAGAAAGGGCATGTTTGGTGGCCTGACTTTATCGAATAAGGTCAAGTGCAGGCATATCTGTTCTTATGCATCACTAATAAGCACTATTAATCAAGTGTGTATCTGTCAGTATCAATTTAAAAGAACGCACTATTGTATCTTGCCTTACCAGTAACTTGTATTTGTAGGCAAAGATACAATGGCATAACACAAATCAACAGGAAAATAGGAATATGTGTAGGAAAAATCTGTTCATAAGCATCACAAATCAGCAACATTAGTCATCATTGGCCATCTTAGAACAAAAAAGCAAGCCACTAGACATTTCATTCCATCGAAATCAACTAAGAAAGATATCAGCTTTTAGTAGATCTAGCATATTTATGAAGGGGACACGGTCTAATCCAAACAAATCGGCTGAGAAAGGGAAGGAGATGCCCAACCTAGCCCTTACCAGAGAGCTCAACGGAGAGAGTCGACGAAAGAGAGGGGCGTAGCAGAGACCAAACGGCTTGACGGAGAGAGTGAACCAGTGGAAGAAAGCGATGGCGGCGAGCGAAAGAGAGGGAGGATGACCAACGGAAGAGAGGATGCTGACGGACGACCGGCCCTCCCGCCGGCGAGGACGGCGCGACGAGCAGCGCCCTCCAGTCGCGAGTCGGCGGAACCCTAGCTTTCCACTGGTTTGGAACAAATGAGGAGGAGGAGAGGAGGGATGGTGGTGACCCCATCCATGGGTTCTGCACGCGCGGGTGCAAGCGAAGGTCGATTCTAGCGTTTCCGCTCAGCCTGGCTCCGCGGGCCTTTTTCATCCACCGGATCTTGCTATGAGACAAGCCCATGCAACCAAACAATCGCAAATCTACTGGCTAGGTGCAAGCCAGGTGTGGTCCGGACAACCAAACACGCCCTATACGTACGAGTAATGAAACCCGGCCCGAGAAGTTGACGCCTACGATGCGGAGAGACGCGCGGCGGGGAGGGAGGAGATCGATGGAGGAGAGCGCGCTCGAAATAACCACCGCTGCCTCCGGACAACCACGTAACTCCCTACTTCTACACCACCGCCCGTACGTGGCCTCCACTCGCAGCCTCTCTCCCTCTCCTCTCCTCTCCGATCGATCCTTCCCCTCTCTCTCTCTCTCTCAATCCAGATAGGAAGGCGGCGAGCGAGAGCGACACGATGCAGGCGGTGAGGGAGGAGGAGGAGCAGGTGGTGGAGGAGGTGGTGAGGGCGGGGGCGGTGGCAGAGGAGGAGGAGGGGCCGGAGGAGAAGGAGGTGGCGATGGTCGGGGAGGAGATGGCGGAGGCAGAGCACGACGAGGAGGAGGCGGAGGCCGGGGCGTCGGCGAAGAAGAACCGGATCCAGGTCTCCACCAACAAGAAGCCACTCTACTTCTACGTCAACCTCGCCAAGGTATATATATATTTTGTGATTGCAGCTTCGATTTTATTTTTATTTTTGTTAGGGAAGAATCGATTGGAAACTGTGAGTGAAATTTTGTGGAAGCAGTCGAACAAATTTAAATCAAAACAAAAAACCTTCTTATGAATTTGCCGCCTCTACCAATGCAATGACAAAATGATACTCCTATATGGCCATATGGGAAACAAGGAAATGTTCTTTATGAGAGAAATGGAAATAGGGGGTATCCAATTTTATTTTATCCGAGTTTTATTGACTGTTTTGGTGTTCTATCTTGCTCCGAAATTGCCATGCCTTTGCTATGTTATTTATCTGGCCCCGTTCCTAATGTAAAATCTTTAATTCAACAAGAATATTGAGAACTGGGAGAATTATGAATGAATTGCATTAAAAAAGTTTCAATTTTCAGTGTCCTATTGTTGAGAACTGGGAAAAATATTGAGCACCTATATATGATCTCTAAGGTTTAATCAGTTCTTTGAATTTGTACACATAACACATCTTTTTGTTTAGAAAATTATTTATCTGACATCTCTAAACCCATATGGATACTGGATGCAGAGGTACATGCAGAACTATGACGAAGTTGAGCTCTCTGCACTGGGAATGGGTAATGCATCCATAGAAACTTAATACTTGTTCTTAAGTTTCCTTCAAATCATCTGATGCATATATGTATTCAGACACTCTATAATAAAATCTGAAGTAATATGCATTTTTCGCACATCCTTATTTTTAATTACTAAGTCATTTCATATTTACCTGAATCTTTCTGAGGTATCTTCTATTGCAGCAATTGGCACGGTGGTGACTGTTGCTGAGATCCTCAAGAACAATGGCCTGGCCACTGAAAAGAGTAAGCATCTTTTCTATTCTGCTAATTACTACTTGTCTACAAAAATCAAATCTATGCGCAAGCTTTCTTTCTTATTGAAACAAAAATTCAGTACGACTTATCAAAATAGTGAGGTAAACTTATTCTCTTCTTCCAACTTCCCTGTTCAGAGATCCTGACATCAACCATTGGCACCAAGGATGAATCGAAGGGGCGGCTTGTCCGTAAAGCCAAGGTGAGATGAAGATTTCTTGGCGTCAACAGTTCATTTTCCCTTTCTGTCTGAACTCACCATTCTTCTTAACTTCTACCTGAATCCATATTGACAACTAACAATTTATCTCTGTCTGTTTTTCTTATCTCAGATTGAGATTCTTCTTTGTAAATCAGAAAACTTCAACAGTATAATGTCCAGCAAGAAATCAGACCGCCCGAAATCCGCCGAGGAAGAGATCAAGGTCTGATGATGAACACCAACTTCTGATCGATCAGAGCCTCCATGTCCAGAGGTTAACAAACCATGCTTGAGACAGTGGGAGGCAGCAGCAATGATCTGATTTTAGTAGTAACTAGGGGGTACCTTAGTCCTTGTCAAAGGAGGAATAGATCATAATATTGTCAGGCATGCATACTATGCAGGCAAAATTATGTCCTTTCCTCTTCCTTGCAGCTCTGTCCAACTGAAACCTTCAAAAGAAATTAAGCAAAATTTGCAACTGCGTCAGTACGGGGAGATGATGAAATTAGTGGATGTAGAAATAGAGTTTATCTCGGTCAGTCCCTAAGGCTGGGACTGGAGGAGTCCTATAATTAAGCTCTTACTTTTTCAGTTTGATGTTCCTTTGCTCATGTATGAAGCTTTTGGACAGAGACAGACAGGTCACTGTCATAATGGAAGGCTGAGGTTTCATGTGATTGTGATGCTTCTGTTTCCATTTGGGTGTGTAGTAGTTTTTCAGTAGATAAAACATTTTTGTTATCTCAACTAACTTGGACAGGATTGGCTTATCCGTCAGCGATAATGTGCTTATAAAAACGTGCGTACTGGGTAGTTTTTACAACAAAATTGAGTAGGAATGGTACGTGCAAGAAAATAACTTATGACGTGAAATGTCAATCAAGTAACTTATGAGGTGATTTTTACAAATTCCCTTTTTAGAATGGTATAATTGTATAAATATATTTTTGACGGGTGGACTGGGGGATGAAGCCCGAGATTACCCTTCGTTACTGTTCGCCTTCGTAGTTGTTGTGGTCGATTTATTGGTAGGATGTTTGTGATAGATATTTAATCCCAAGATAGCAACGTTCTCATGTTTTGTGTTACATGTAGTCGTTGTCGTGCTATTCATATTTTACATGATTTTCACATGAAATGGTTTCCCATGAAATTCCCCTAAAACGAGAAAGCTCCCCCCACCACTTAATCTTAACGTCTCACACAACGCTCCAAATCAATCTCCTATTTGGATTTATATTAGTATTAGAAGATAGCGCGATTACTAATTAGTGCGTACACACCGGCAACAAAGATCGTGTGTTTTAGCCCACGCCCGCATACACGTCTCTGGCCAACCATACGTGTGTGGTTACAAAGGGATTAGATAAGGTCATGATTAGTTTAATTAAGTAGTTTTCAATAATTACAGACTAAATTAAGATAACATTTCTTTTTTTATTGGTGGGATTTTTTTTCTTTCTTTACTTAAAAAATTGAAAATCTATACGTAATTTTCTTAACTTTCAAATAAAATCTAAAACTTCCTAAAAAAATTATAGTTCACCAAAAAATGTAAAACTTTCATTTAGAATTCACTAAAAAATGTAAAACTTTCAACTCAAAATTTGAAAACTTTAACCTTAATATTTGAAACTTTCAAATCAAATTATTTAAAACTTTCAACTCAAATTTCAAATACTTTTGACTCAATTTTTGTAAACTTCACTCAGATTTGAAAAGTTCCAAGTAAAGATTTGAAAACTATAAACTCAGATTTGAAAAGTTTCAACTAAAGATTTAATTTTGATTCGGAGTTAAAAGTTTTCGAAGTCGAGTTGAAAGTTTCAAATTTTGATTTGAAAATTTCCAAATCCGAGCTAAAGGTTTTCAAAAATCTATATTTAAAGTTTCAAATCTGGACTTGAAAGTTTTCAAATATGAGATTAAAGCTTTTAAATCTGAGTTGAAAATTTTCAAATCGAAGTTGAAAGTTTCAAATATAAGTTTAAACTTTCAAATCTGGACTTGAAAGTTTTTGAATGTAAGTTGATTTAAAAAGTTTCAAATCTGAGTTATTTTTTTTTCAGTCAACACAAAAAAAGAAGAAAAAAAAACACGCGTGGGAGGATCTTTCCCCGTAAAGAAAAGGAGATTTTTTTTTCCGATGCAGAACAGAAAGACGCCTAAGAAAAAAGTGGACCCACATCACCATGCGCGAGTTCCGTAAATGGCGCATATGCACCAACTAGTCACCCCCCCGAAGATTGATTGTATTGAACCTAATTAATATATTTTGGGATCAACAGAGTACTACAAGTACTACAGGAGCATGAGCATATGCCTATTCAACAAAACAGATACTATCTCTGTCCTAAAATAAGTACAGTTGTGGGGATCCGTGTCCAACGTTTGTCCGTCCGTCTTATTTAAAACATTTATAAAAAATAAAAAAAATAGTCACACATAAAGTATTATTAATGTTTTATCATCTAATAAAAAATAAGAATACTAATTATAAAAAATTTTCAAATAAGATGAATGGTTAAACGTTAAATATAAACAGTGCAAAACTGTACTTTGCTGTGGGTCGGAAAGAGTAGATAGCCTCCTCATATATTAATCCCTATTTTGTTGAACGCTTGGGCTTTCTAAAACTTCGGCTGGTTGTTGCTTCTTTGGCTCCTAAATTGCACTTTGGGTCACATATTCTTCCCCAAGTTTACATTTTTCTGCGAAAGTGACCAGCTACTACTTGCGCTCACATGATCATATCCAATCCTTTCTCCAAGGAGATCATATTAGTTTTCCCAGTTAACAAGCTTATAGTACTTTCTAGAACAGCATGTAAAGAGCAAGCCAAACGATGCATCAGAGGATGGAACCAATAATGGAAATTATTCCCGTTTGCACAAGCGATGACAAGCAAAGATATTGGATTAAAACAAGGGTTCCACGTAATTTTACAAGCAAATGACAGACTGTAAACTGATCTTCATGGGTTGTCAAATCACAACGAATAGAACAGCACCGACACAAGGTTATGCTAACAGGAACTGAAAGCTGCACTATCTGGCAAATTATTCTCTTACATTTTATCAATAGACATGGAAAATTGGAACCAACACCAAACCCCATTATACGATTCTCCCACTGCTCCAAGGCTAACAGAAACGGGAGAAGCAAATAAAGCAATCAGTCACGGCTATAATTCTGTATACATGCCCCTACCAAAATCTTTTTCTTATGTACCAGCTTTGCTCTACACAAATAAAGCAACATCTACCTTATCCTAGCGGGGCCATCACACTCGACACAATTGTTTTGCCCGGAAACAAGATGGAAAGCCTTGAAAAAAAATCCCTGACGCCCACTACATCACGAGTAAGCTGCACCAACGGCGTCAACCAGCGGGAAGCAATATAGGCCTCAGCGTAATGGCCATATGTTTTGTTGCCATGTTTCTTCTGTTGAGGTTGTCTTACTTTGTGATCTCTCTTTGGCATGGCATGCTATCCAGACGAGGCCTTTGTTCAGGGCTTCAAGCCCAGCTATAAATCTTCTCAATTATAAATTTTCACAGGCTTCTCAAAAGTGTGACGATTCTGCATAGTTTGAATAACCAGAGTAAAGAACAATTACATGGAAAACACTGCTATAATAATACAGATAATTTCGAAACACCATTAATCAACCCAGCTTACTTTTACACATGCACACATTGCATTCAATGCAACAAAAATATTAGCCCAAAATAACCAGTAATGATTTCTTGAAAAAAAAAAGTAAAGGGAGAAATGAGTACGTTTACACCCGAATTTTTTCTTAATCTAAGCACATGCAACACTGTTACAAAACAAAATGAAAAAAGTAAACATACTCATTTCTCCCTTTACTTTTTTTTCAACACTGCACGTGACTATAGGCAAGATTCTCATGTAGTCACGTGCAGTGGTGATTCTATCGAACGGGATATCCATCAAACTAACTACTCCCTCCATCCCAAAATAAAAGAACCTAGGAATGGATGGGACATTTCCTAGTACCTGTCCAGATTCGTAGTACTAGGAAATGTCCCATCCGGTTCTAGGTCTTATATTTTGGGACAGAGGGAGTAGATGATACCCCACATGTTGTTGCAGGTATAGTAGAACAATTTTGGATATACAGATTTAGTATGAACTATTGAGCAGAAAAATATTACATTGAGCTGCAGAAATATTGCATTTGAAAATAAAGGCAGGAGGAAAATAAGTGTCATCTATATGAATGCATAGAAGTAATGACCATCAATAAATAAAAGAAATGTAACTGAATACATGAAGGATGGTTGAGATTAAACGCATGAAAGATCCAATGGCAAATATTTTCTAGGTGATGTGGCTCAATGCATGTAGAGATTTTTGGTTCCAACTATATAGGATATATAGATTGGATGCTGAATTGAGTATGTACGTGCACGTATAGACCAACAACCCACATCCAATTGGACAGTTAGCCTTCATTTTAGAAATTGGAAAAACATAGCAGGTGTAACATTTTTCTACATTTCAAATCTTATTCATTTGCAAAGATCATGCAAATCATATCTGTGTAAATAATCTTCATTTGTTTTGTATAGCAGTGGTGCATATCAGCTTTTACAAATCAGTTTAGCAAATATATTTTTCAGTGTAATCTGAATATAGCAAGGCAAGAGACCTGCGAGGCTGCTGATTTGCTCACTTCACTAGAAGCAAAGCAGCAAACAGCCCATTAATCTCTTGGACATTTAGTTAAACAAACTGCACGCTTATTTTGTTCGGCATCAGGTTAACCGGATTGACAGCAGATTGTTTAGAATAGAAATACGAACATTGTGTGCTCACATTCGTAAAATGGGTTTGCATGTGCTTAGATATAAAAATAAACAGATATTTACACTCTTAAATCTTAAACACTCAGATTATTTCTTGCCAGTTTTGAATTGTACGCAAAAACCATTATTAGCCAACACTGATTACCTGATTGGCTGTATAAGACCTTTTTGGTGTTGTGTCAGTATGTTCCAAGCCAAGGTATTGTTCCCAAGCTCCATAAACATCTCTCCTCTGCAGAATCAGAAGATACATCATGGCATGAACAGCGGTCAAGAAAAGGAGGTACACATATGGACATGCCTAGCTTCCTAGCATGTTAAAATTATAACTTGCCTGAAAACGTGCAGATACAACGTCGACATCCTGGAGGTATTCAGGCCGATTCATAGATATGAATGCAAGCTTCCACTGTTCAAATAAGCATTACCGGCATGAGAGATCCATGTTGGCCGTAAAATTATAGAGAAAAGATGATCAGATGGAAGACAGCAGTTAAAGTACTAACATCTACAGTTGGACAAGAATGGGTTACCAAATTTCTGTTATTTTAAGTGGTCTTATAATTTTATTTCAGTGCCTACCAAATTAGAACTATTCTCTCTCACATTCCTTGTCCCTTAGTTAAATTGCCAATATATCCTAGATCCAAATATCAAAGTAGCAGGCCTTCTTGTGGTATTCCTAAGAATTGGTAGTGCATACAAACCTAGGAAATCTTCTCTTCTATGATTTTACCCGTGATTTTCATTTATGATCTAATAAGAAATACATTTCTTTTTTTTTCTTGCGTTTGTTGATAAGAATAAATTTCTGTATTGTGAGAAAATAAGAAATACCCC